TATGACTTTCTTTAGTGAAATCATAGCGAACCTTTAACACCTTGTTGGCGGAATCCTCTGCAGCCACAGGTTTGGCAACATCCATTTTTCCAGGGGTATATTTGTAAAACATGGCCATAGAAAGTTGACTTGTTTTTGCTTCTTCTCCGTAGTCTAGCAAGGTTTCGATCATGGCGCAATAAGGGTAGGTATTACTGGTTGGAGAGATCAATCGCTCGTTCAAGGAATCGTCCACTTGCGAAAACAGGAAACGCAAAAACAGGTTCACGGGACCTACTCGTGTATCTGCACCTATGGCGGTTCCATTTGCTTTTGTGATCTTGGCTTTCACAAATAACTGAGTACGTGCCAAGTACAAATACTCATCTCCGGTTCCCGAAACATAAAACTTGATCTAACCACTGTCCGTGATTTTATTGAAGGGGTGGTACTCGATCAATTGCGCTTTGGAGATAGGGGTTTGTGTTGCAGGAATCGTAAAGTGATGCAACTCAGATTTCGTACATTCCTGAGACTCGTGATGCATAAAGGCCATAGTTACTTAAAAAAAGAAAATTTCTCTTTGGGCTTCTTTTGCTGCGGAGATGCTTTTGCTTTCTCGCCTGGAGGCGAACTGATTTTGGTTCCTTGCGCTTTTCTTTTTATAGCTTTTTTGCCAGCTCCTGATTGTCCCTGCAATGAATTCTGGGAAGGTAGACCGAGGACTTGTTTCGTGCGCTTGTGGGCTGCTGTTTTAATGTTATCTCCATCAAGAACATCTTGGGCGACATTGACACCGGTTGGTAAAGCCTTTTTTCCAATCACGTTAGCATCCTGTTGAAGGTGAGCCATCGCCCCAGCGAAACAGGCCTCTGAATATGGACCCTAGTCCATAACCCCGCTGAAATCTAGCACTGTGGAACCCTGGTAAACTCCCACCTTTTTGTTTGGCTTGATTAACATAGTACTGTTCGTACAACTTATGATTTGGAGTGTGGAGTTTTTTCATCTTTAAAAGTACTGAGGTGTACTTTGAGGGAAATGAAGTGTTAAAAGTACTCTCCCAAACTCAGATGGTACAGACTCCCATGTGTCTGTCTTTCTGCTGACGGGTAAATATTTGGGGCGCAAAAATGATTTACTGACTCGCTCCCCGACCTTTCCTTCTACAGGAACAATTCGAAGCAAAGGTACCAATGCATCTCCAACATATTGTGACTGAATAAGATCACAGTAAAAAAAAAAAAGGTCGTGAAAGCCATACTCCAAATCCACTTGTCTTTCAGTGGTAGAGGTATTAGAAATAATTTCTTCTGGTGAAAATCCCAGCAGGTATCCAATTTTATCAAAGAAAAGTTCTACGTTATTTTGTAGGTGAACTGTCACCATTCTAGTGAACGTATCGTAGGAAAATGTCACATCGTCATTGAAACGCTTTACATTCTCGATCAGCCCTTTCATCTTTGATAAGATATCTTCAAGGGAAGAATAATGACCCGGTGGTATAATTAGGGCCTCCCATAATCCGGACAATTCTTGGTTCCAAAGGAAGAATCGATTAACAAAATTTCCTTGGACATTATTCCAGCTGTGAGGATAATGAATTTGTGTTAACGCTACTTCCCAGTCCCTCGTCAAGCTAACGGTTTGAGGTAAACCAACATGGTACTCCGTTAATGTGTTGTTGGGAAACTTATCGAGGCTGCTATTGCTTGGACGATTCAGGTAAAACTGTGCTACCTCCATCGTATCGTGTGTTCAAATGAACATTTATTCCTAGCGTTCTTAATTTATAACTATACACAACAACATTTGTTTTCAGTTAAAATAACCTTTTTATTGGCTTCACACAAAATGTCACAACTTTGAGATATTACTTTCTGCTATCCACCTATTAAACTTGTCTGGGTACCCTTTCCATTTTACAAAGTATATAACTATTCCTTTACGCTTTCGCTTGCGCAAAATCTTTTCAACGCGGTACACATCATCGTTCTTAATTATTTTCTGTAATTCGGCTTCATAAAACTTTCCATCTAAGATTTCACCTGCATCATCCTTTGGTTTGTAAACGGGTACTTAACGCGCCACTCGTTTGTATACAGTAAACATTTCTTCCGTGAAATTAGGCAGGTAAGATTTTTCGCTTCACTTTGCTGATCCTAACACGATCTCCCACTTGAAATTTAAAACGCACACGCTTTTCAACGTCATTACCATACAAAGTATCCCACACTTTAGTTTCATTCGCTTTAGTCACCTCACTCGGTTTCATTTTAATACTTCGGTGGTAAGTGTTATTGTAAGACGATACTAATTGGGGTAGTTCATTGATATAGGTAAGAGTGTTTTTAGCTGTGAAATATTTGTACATTTTATTTTTAATTGTTCCGTTAAAACGCTCAACTACTGAGGCCTTGAGCCCAGAGTTTACAGTAAAAAAGTCAATGTTGTTGTCATGCAGATAAGTCTGAAACACGCGATCTAGAAACTCTGTACCTTGATCCGTTTGCAGTTTGTTGGGTTTGCGCCCAGTAGAAAGGATCTTTTGAAAGGCTTTGACCAGTTCTTGACCTAGTTTGGACTTCAAAGGCAGCACCCAGGCATACTTGCTGAAGATATCTATACAAGTCAGTAAGTATTTATAGCCCTTGTTGTAGCAATTGAGATTTTGAAGATCGACCAAATCCGCTTGAGACTGGGCATCTATTCCAGTAACGATGACTCGGCCTCTCTTGTAGCGTCTTCTCGCAAGTTTGTGAAGAGTATAAACATCCTGCTGACTCAACCAATCTCGGACTTGTTTACGCGATATCTTGTTCTTCCCTTTCTCTTTGACTGCTCTGTAAACAGCATCTAAACCACCGAGACTTGCGGGTTGACTTGCGTTGAGGTAGATGCTGGCTAGTGTTTTCTCCATCACAAAATTCCGAGTTTTGTACAACCACTTTACCACCGCAGCAAGCTAATACACAAGGTATGCGACTGAAAATGTGTTCAAAACCAAAAGTGGATGATGGCGGGAAGCAACCCATTACTAGTGTTTTCCTGAAAGATCAAAGATGTAAGGACTTTTCTCTCCCTGGTGTTCATTTATATAACTACTCGCGAATCTGGGTGAGAGTAGGAATAAGAAAATGAAATAGTAGTTCCCACTCCTCCTCAGTTAGTCCCAGCTGGTCAGCAAAACTTAAAAATAGTACTAATCGTCCCCAGTTCACTTTGGAAAAGAGTTTAGAATGGAGTGGCTTTAATTTTTTGAGATTTGAGCCCGGTAGTTTAAAAAAGGTTTCTTTAAGCTTTTCCATTTCACTTGTAGATATTGTTAAATTTTTTGCTGTTAAGCGGTACCAAGAAAACTTAACCCGAAGTAAAGAGAGAGAAAGGCCCATCTTAACGAAGATAAAGACACACACACACTGACGCAAAGTCAAAACATCAACTCATTTTATTACTTTTACAAACAAAGCATGTTTTGAATGTCATTAATTACAGAGTCAATTTCCATTGGCTCTTCGTCTTCTCTCACTACTTGTTCAGGGCATTCTATTTCTGCTTTAAGGTCGGTAAAATCCTTGCTTTTGAGGCCATTAGGCCCGTCATGTGTTGCGCGCAAGACACGACTCTTAATATCACCATCAAAACCATCTACCTCAAGTGAAGCTAGAAATATGCTGGTCCAAGGCATCTTTGGTAGCTCGCTGACGTACATTTTCCACGTCTGACCAAGCTTGAAACCAAGAGCATTACACACACTTTCAACATTGTTCAGGACGGCATTCACGTCAATTTTTTCCATCACGTCTTCCCGGTAGTACAACCAAGAATCTTCTCTATCCATCATAAGATACCAATGTTGTCTTTGACTTGGGTGCTGAATAGCACAGCCGTGATAGCGATTCAACTTTTCTTCTTGAATTAGTTCGTCTACCATATTGGCGTAAGTAAGTTGGAAGATATGGCCGATAAGACTTGCTATCCTTTGCCGTTGAACTTGTTCCACTTCATCAATAGTCAATAAACGCCAAAGTCTCGAATCAACATGAATCTTTCAAACCATCTTGTTTATACTACTGAATGTCGAGAATGATTTGCTTGGTAAGGAAGGGCCATTTTATGTGTTTCGGAACAATAGAAAAAACTGGCAGGTAAAAATAAACCATGATATCATCTTACCTGGATAAATATGACATCATCATGACCAAGTAAGGACATGATATCACTATTCTATTTATAGATTATGATCTCAACATTTTTTGATGACGTCAACCCCTAGGGTATTCTGACGTCACTTGCTCCGTGCCTACTGAAAATAAACTATGACATCATCCTATCTAAATGAGATGTATGACGTCATCAGCAGTAATTTATGCCACTCAAAAAGTTAATTAAATCCACAAAATACCGGCGTAACCGGTGCCTTATCCACTACTTTCGTTGGATCAATAAGGATAGCATTGTCGCAAAGTCGGAGTTACTGACTACTAACTTTCATTAACAGCGTTTTATCTACAATTTTTCATTACATTTATTTAAATTGAATAGCACACAATGGCCTTTTTCACACTAGAGACAGATGAACCGTCTGAGACGGATGATCCATCTTCAAAATCCGTCAAAATTGTCGGAAAAACAGATGCTTGAAGTCAGGCGGATTGTCCATCCGAAATTAAGACCGTTCAATTTTAAATTAGAACGTATTACCTGACGCGAGTTATCCAACGGATAACCCGCATCCGTTTCCAGCGTTAATACGGCCAATGGCTGCGATGCGAAACTCATTTGAAAGCTGTGGATTTTTTTGTCAGTGGCTTTTGCTACTATAAGGAACTGGTTTTTATTAGCCGTTTTCACACTAGAGATGGATTATCCATGTGAGACGGATAATCCAACGGATAATCCGTCTAAGACGGATGTTCCGTCTCTAGTGTAAAAACGGTCGTATCGTGGTCTGAAATTTGAAAAGAAAACCTACAAGCTAAAGCTAAAAAGGTCTATAGTGAACATCACTGAACGATCTA